AGGCTAATCATGTTTTGGGTGTACTATTCCTTTAAAGAAAACTGAAAATCAGAACAGACAGATAAGGACAAACTCTCTATGCCTGATGTGGACAAAAGTTTCCCCCCCCCGTTAGTCTGGGGAAGCACCGTTAACGAAGTATATCACTGGTGTCTCGGCTGCTTGTTGTTTTACTGAGAAAGGGCAAAGAGCGTCTTTCTATTCTTTACCCATTAACTGAGCCTGAAGTGTTTTAACCTCCATCAGGCTTTGCTTCAATGTTCACGGAGGATACTCATTCCTAAATCACTTCCTGTATCTGTTTTCATGCTAGTTAATATTAACATACACCTGTACTATCTGCATACCTTTTAGATGTGAAGTAGTAGCCTATTATTTTATTAGATGTTTTGGAGGATATTTTAAGTTCTTTGTCAAGAAACAGTGCTGTGAAAACCAGCTAACAGATTTTTTTCTGTTCTTGTTATTTTTTTTGTCACACTTGTTTCAGATCCACAACTTAATTTATATAACATCCAAACATCCTGGCCATAAATGTAAAAACCCGTGGCTGCAAAAAACTGTTTGTTAGAAGTGTCTCCTAATTTTTTATGTCAATGGAGAAACGCCGTGCCACTCCTCTTGTTGCATGGGAAGTTTTAAGAGCTTATTTGTCACAGCTTTCTTAAGTCCAGACTTTAACATGGCCATTAAAATCTTAATTTAAAAAAAAAAATCTGAGCCATTCATAGTTTATTTCTGTTATGCTCTGGATCTTTAACTGAAACCAAGGCTGTGTGTTCTCCTTCACCACTTTTCTCCTGATAATAGGCTGTAGAATGGGCAAAATGCTCATTTAAACAAAAGTGGCTGGAAATCGAAGAATTGCACCCTGCCGACAGTAAAGATAAAAAAGGAATTTGCTCCGTATATATGAGAGTCATGGGTACTTGTTGCATTAAAATTATTTTTAGGTGCATTAAAAGAGCATTAAAAAGCATTAAATTAGAGTTGCTCATTCCTGCATAAACCCTGTTGTATTTACAGGTGTTAGATCAAACTGTGATTAATTTTTACTATGGCAGGTTTGAAACGTTTTCTTTTCCTTAATAACTCTGCTGTTTAAATATGCTACAGTTATTTTTTCTCTTATTGAAATTAGTTTAATTATCCAATATAATAATGTTTAAGGAAACTAGGAAGTATTTATGTTTCATCTGTTCTGTTATTTACAACCATGTTTGCTAATGAGCTTCCATGCATTATGTTGGATTAGCTGTGCTTTTAACCTCTGTCTGCCTGTCTGGGCTGTTTGATTTACCAGTCGGTGCCTCTGACCTTTAGCAGTTCCCCGGGTCACTCGGCGGTTGCGTAATGCTTTCAGCAGCAGTTGGGTCGCGCCAAACATGTTTGTTCATGCACTCCTTGTGCTGTGTTTGGCTCTCTTATTGTGTGTGTGAGTCTGCTTCGTATCTGTGAGAGACAAACACTGCGACTGCCTTGTCTTTGTTTAAACTGAGTCAGAATAACAATATTGTTGGACCTGTTGGCTGTTTGCAGCAGACTGATTCCCTGGCAGGCTGCTCCTTGTTTGACTGGGGTGGGTCTGGTTTGTGGAAAATCTGTGTGTTGGGGTCAGGCTGCTGCGGCCTGAGAGGGATGCCTTAAAGCTAACTTTGGCTCGTTTTGGCCTAGTTTTCAGTCAGCGTAACAGCTTCAACAGAAGGATCGGTTCAGCATCCAGGCGAGGGGGGCGTTCATCAGCTCTCTGCTGACAGGATCATATAAGAGCAGATATTTTGGTACCTTGATGCAGAGAATGAGATTAGAGACATTTCCTGTTTTATTTGTTGCACCATATGTGCTAAATTTGATCTGAACTCAGAGGTCTTTTCGGAGCGACTTAATGGTCATAAGAAAACAGTAATTTTCTTGCTTTTTTTAGGCAACTGTAGAAACATCGCGTAGCATTGCAAAAGCATTTACACTTCTGCTTTTTTTTTGTCGTAGTAGCTTTATTTGGTCTATTCCTGTTTGGCTGTGACGCCATGTTGGAGAGAAATATCAACTGGGCTGCTGTCATTAACACCTTGAGGAAAGATGATACAGTTACTTCTATTTTTTTCCTGGACATCCCGTTGCTCCTGTATGAGCTCAGCTTTTACTGTGACTAACTGTATGTTCGCTCTTTTATCCCTTTGAGATTAAAACTGATTTGGAATTCGTCTGCTTAACTCTTTCTTTCCCAGACAGAGTGATCTGAGTGGCTAATTTACCATTACCTTTTCTATCATAGAATGTATTTTTAGATCAGTTCTATGTTTTTATTGATATGTCTGCTTCAATCTCAAACCCCAGTCACCCTCAGCAGAAAGCCGCTCAGACTGAGCCTGATTCTGCTGGAGGTTTTTCCTGTTAAAAGGGAGTTTTTCCTCTCCACTGTCACCGCATGCATGCACGGTGTAAGGAATTGCTGCAGAGAAGAAAGCATAGAAAACTTTGAACTAGGGCTTAAACAATTAATCGGATTAATCGTGATTAATTGATTATTGAAATAATCGTCAGCTAAATTAGTAATCGAATAATTGTTAATTGGAGTGTAGAGACTAAAACAGCAACCCACCTTAAACAGCTGTTATACCAAAAAAAAGCAAATATTTTGCATTTAGGATAAATATGCTCTATGCAGAACTCCTCAAGTGGAAACGTTTTAGTTTCACCTGGTTTCATTTCATAAAAAGCCTTCTTCAAGGAACCTTTAGCTATTTGATTATTAATTGAAAAAATAATTGACAGATTAATCAATTTGCAAAATAATCGTTAGTTACAGCCCTACTTTGAACCAATCTGACTGTTTGATCTGGTGGAAGTGTCTCTGTAAATTGCCTTGAGATGAAATCTGTTATGAATCGGCACTCTGTAAATAAACCGAATTCACTTTAATGGAATTAAACCTTTTCACAACATTTTTTTACACTGAAGCCAAAAACTTGGTTGTTTTTCATTTGGTTTGATGCGATGAACAAGAACAAAGTATGGATAAACTAGGCAATTGATTAAGTTTTCAAAGTTTCTCTCTGAGTCAGTTTTTTTTACTGGGATTACAGCTTCTGTTTCCTCTGGCTGTCAGTCTGTGTGGCTTCTTGTTTCATAAATGCCCTCCTGGCAGAAATCAGGCCCGTCACTTCAGGTGGCAAAGCCCTGATGATTGTAGTCATGTAGCTGTGCTGGATTTTATTAAGGGGGTGTCAGAGTTAATAGGTCTGACTCCATTTACACACCACTGTTTTTCAAAATACTGTATTTTCACGACCATAAGGCGCACCGTACTAAAAGGAGCAGTCTCAGTTATGTGTGCCATTTCTGTATTTAACACACACATAAGGCGCACCGGACTATAGGGCGCGTTTTTTATATACAGGTACATGTCCTCTACTACGTTTAAATACCTCTACTGGGTATTTAAAAATAGAGTGGGAGCAAAACTGAGTATTTTGTGCTTTATTCATGTATTTATTACAAAGTATTAATCAAACCTGGGAGCTGGCCGTGAGACAGACACATCGCAGATGACACAGCACTGTGATCACTCCTAAATTAACTTAAAATCCTGAAACCTGCCGACAGAATATGTTCGCTTTTATTACCGGTATCCTGGTGCCTGCAGCTAAAATTATTTAGATGAAAAACACCTGCCATCCACCGCGTGAACCCGGAGGCTGCCCAGCCTAGAGGCTGCTGATGAAAGGATTTCTACTGTCGGCGCACCGCTGGTATGTGGGGGTCTGAGCGCCTCCGACAGAAATAGATAATCTGGATGAACTGACTGCAATTATGAAGTTTTCAGGTGGACTTTCTCATTTAAAAACATATTAAAACTACTTTATTCCCACTGATCACAGCAAATATAGCTGCAAGATTTAGATTATTTAGATGAAAAAACACCTGCCAGCCACCGCTGTATACGCGGAGGAGACCCGGCCCAGAGGCTGCTGTTGAATTAAGTTTTCAGGTAGAAAAATAGAGCGGGAGCAAAACTGAGTATGATTGTGCTTTATTCATGTATTTATTACAAAGTATTAATCAAACCCATCAAAGTCATCATCCTCTGTTTCTGAATTAAACAGCTGCGCTAAATCAGACATGCCAATTTCCACTTCTTCGCTGTCAGAGTCACTTTCCGTGCCGGGCGGCTCCTCGGAAATTATGCCGGCTTTTGCGAAAGCTCGAACAACAGAGCCAGCAGACACGTTAGTCCAAGCATCAACAATCCAATTGACAGAAAAAAAGACGTTTAAGTGCGCCTTATAGTCGTGAAAATACTGTAAACAAAAAAATATGGCATCATCTTCCTTCTGCTTTGTGATGGTCTTACTCATGAAATCCATTGTAATCCCAAGGAGTATAAATACTCTTTCAGTATGCCGTATATGATATATTGAAATGTTTTACAGCTGTAAGGATCTGATGAGATACTGGGCCATCATGTCAGCTGCAGACAGGTCAGCTCCTCTCTTTTATGGAGTGAAACCAAGCGGACAGAGAGAACGCTTTCTCTGTTGTCAATCAGCCAACATTCCTTGCATAGTTCTGTATGTTTCTGGAATGTAAACGTACGTCAGGAATCTTATTTTTAGGACGTTTTTCCTTCGTTGCTTGTAAGTTATTGGCTGAGCAGAAGGGTTCCTGCCTCTGAATTTAACTCCACACTTAAACATTTGGTGGGAATCTCCATAAGCAAAGCCTACCTACTGGTTTGGAGTTTGTTTACATAAAGCAAGATGATTCTTCAGAGATAAAATTAGGCTTTGCTTAATTCCTTTCCTTGTGCATTTTCTCCAAAATGTTAACATCCCTCCCTCCCTCTTCCCCTCTCCTGCAGGTAGAGAGCTGCGGCTCGATCACAGACTGTGCAAGTATTGGCCACAGCTACCCTGGGCTGTGTAGGCCGTCCATTTCACAAGTCCACAATGGAGACATGGATTCACATGCAGACATGAAGCCTGACGCCTGCTTCCCCAAACAGGAGAAGAGGGAAGTGGAGAATGGAATTCCCAGATGCCTGTCCTCCTACCAGGATGAGGACAGTTCTCAGGGTCAGAGCCCGAGTCCCTCACAGGAGAACGGCTTCCCGTCCAGCCTGGAGGAGCGGCACTCGGAGGAGGACAAGGACGACGGCCTGATGATGCCGCGCAAGAAAAGAGGGAGGCGGAAACTGGAGCGACCGACGAAGTGTGAGTGCTGGCCGTGCGTCTGTGTGGAGCAAACACGAATGATCCAGGAAGGAAGTGGCAGATTTACACATGTACCAGCAGAAAAGGCCCAAACACAAAGAAGCACCTGCATGAATAGACAGGGCTATTCATAATGTTTCCTCTAGAAAGCTGTCTAGGTTTATAGATATTTTACTATCATGTTTTTATTGTCATCCATTGTTATGTTTCTAAAACAATTAAAAAAATACAGGGTTCCCGCAGGTCCTTAAAAAGTTTTAAAAGGCATTGAATTCTTCAAAATAAAACTAAGGCCTTAATTGGTATTAAAATGTCTTAAATCAGTCTTTCGTAGGTCTTAATTTTAAAAACATCATAAATAGGAT